AATTCCGAAAGTCAAAATTTGACTTTACAGTTGACTTTTCACCAGATGAATTCAAATCCACTATAATCAATGCAATCTTGTGATCATGATGAGATCTTTGACACCTTGAGATATTTTTTGAGGACCAAGAGATAATTTTGATGATCCTTTAAATGGGATACCCTTGAAGCTCAAACCACAAAACCCTAATTCTTGATTTTCACTAATGAATGTTAAAACCTTAGTTCACTTTAAATCAACTGATGAACCAATAATGAAACCCTAACACTTGAGTACATCTTGATGAAGATGATGATCCAAACCTATGAGAGATGAGTCTATCCTTATTAAAACCCTTATTACAAATAGATTGTGATCCCATGCTTTTTAGGAATCGATGATATGAATGATTGTGATTCTAATGCAAATGAATGTGAATCATAAGTTTAAACATATGGAAAATTTTGGGGTGCCACAATATGCAAACTCACCCTTAACTCAACGATACACACATCAACATGTATAATTTATCAATTCATACTCACAACTCATAAGCATAACCTCATAGCCTTCATCGTTAACATAACGTCAACAATACACATAAGCATCGTCAATTCATCATATTAATACAACACACTCAGTACCTGAATACATTATCACTTGATAGAAAATCGTGTTAGCTTTCTAACGCTTCAAACATAATCTCACTTAGACTTACAGATCAAAGGTTATGACCAAAACAAACAAAAAAAGATTTTATGTGAAAAACTGGATTAAGAGTCGACTCCTAGCTCGTATGGCTCGACTCCTACTATAACATTTTAAAAAATTAAGCTTCTGAATGTTATGGGTCGACTCCCATGTCTTATGGGTCGACTCCATCCCTTATGGGTCGACTCCCAGCTCAAATGGGTTGACTCCTACTATAATATTTTCAAAAAATTTAAGTTTCTGGTTATTTGGAGTCGACTCCCGGCTCGTATGGGTCGACTCCCTTTGTACAAAATCACAAGAAAAAACTTACTTTTGACGTACACAAAGAATCACTTAATCAATTTTACTTCCCGAAACACATTTTAACACAAAAGTACTTATTTCAAACCATCTTTTAACTCAGATAAAAATCCTCACCATCCCCACTCACTGATTTACTCATCAATTTCTCAAAATATTCTCACATCACCAAAATCTAAGCAACACAACAATGGTGAATACACACCCATTCATCATGACAAAATTTCACATGCAAAACTACACAAATTTCACATGAATAACATCAGAATAATAATCAATCGCATCACACAACACATATTTCAACCAATTCATCAATAATTGTTGGAGGTTAAGGATTCCTCTACCCTACTCCTTATGCATAAGCCATTTTGAAAGCTATTATCCACTCTTACCTTAGATTTTTCCAGCAAAATTCTTTCAATCTCTATCAATGGATGTTCTCTCTATGCCTTCTCTTGTTATTTCTCTTGCCCTAGCCTCTTTTTCTCCCAAAATTCTACGTACTGCTAACCCCTTCCTTCTAATTCCCTTTTTACACTAAAAACCTAGTAACTTCTTTGGCTATTCCTACTATACCCTTACTTTTCTCTCTAATCCCCACTTTGCCCTCAATATCTCTACACTTCTATTTTATTTTTATTTTATTTAAATAGTCAAATCAAATAATTATTTTAATTAATAAAATAAACCTAATGTATTATATCTTTCTTTAATTACTCTGCACACCCTACCATAAGGTCACACACTCTTCCTCTCACCCATATTTATGTAATCATCCACACATAATAATTAAATAAATATACAAAATTATAATTAAATTAAAATAAAATAGTTTATTGAAATTAGGGTGTTATAACTCTCCCCACTTCAAGAATCTTTGCCCTTGAAAATTACCTTAAGTAAACAAATCCATATATGAATCCCTCATCTGGCTCTCAAGCTCTCAAGTTAAGTTTCCACAAACTGGTCCTCCCCAAGCTACCTTCACTAAGGTAATATCTTTATCACCTAATTGCTTCACTTCCCGGCCCTCTATCTGCATGGGTGATGCCTCAACGGTCAGGTTATCTCTTACATGTACATCATCCACTTGGGTCACATGAGACGGGTCCGGAATGTATCTCCTCAACTAAAACACATGAAACACATCATGAATATTAGCAAACGACGGTGGTAAAGTAATCTGATAGACCACCTCTCGTATCTTCTGCAATGTGGAGTGAGCTTTCGGGACTTCAAAGCTCGACCAACACCAGTTACCAGAATAACTCTAAAAAACATATGATCTCTCTCTTGGAACTCATGTGCCTTCCTTCTTTTATCATGGTAGCTTTTATGGTGACTCTATAAAGCTCTCATCTTCTCTTGGATCACTTTTATTTTCTCTGTGGTCTGTTGGACGATCCCATGTCCAATCACAACACCCTCTCCCGACTCATACCAATATAAAGGTGTCTTATACCTTCTACCATACAACGTCTCTAATGTTATTATTCCAATACTTGTATATAAATTATTGTTGTAGGTAAACTCAATCAACGGTAAAAATTTAACCCAAGCCCCTCCTTGTTCTAGCACACAAGCTATCAACAAGTACTCTAAAGATTGGATAATCTTCTATGTTTGACCATCTGTTTACGGATGATAAGCAGAGCTCTAACGCAACTTCGTACCCAAAGATTTCTGCAAACTATCCCAAAACCTCGATGTAAACCTCAAATCTATATCAGATATAATACCATATGGAATCCCATGCAAACTGACAACCTTCTTAATATACAGCTCTGCTAACTTATCTAATGGATGGTTAAGTCGAATCAAAATGAAATGAGCCGATTTAGTCAAACTATCCACAATAACCCAAATAGTATCACAATCATTCACTGTCATTGGCAATCCAAACACAAAATTAATTAAAATGTGTCTTATTTCCACTCAGGAATAGACAACGACTACATCAAACTTGACGGCTTCTAATGCTCAACTTTTGACTTCTGGCAATTCAAACACGCATACACAAATTCAACAACTTCCTTCTTCATTCTAGGCCACCAAAACATCTTCCTCAAGTCTTGATACATCTTTGTAGCACTGGGATGAATACTCAGACCACTTCGATGTCCTTCCTCAAGAATACTCTTCTTAAGTTTTGGCACATCCAGAACATATACTCGATCACAAAACCTCATAACACCACTCTCGTTGATTCTAAAATCACCACATTGACCTTGATTGATCAAAGTTAACCAATCAACTAATCTCAAATTAGTCCTCTGACCTTCTTTAATCTCGTCAATAATACCACTGGTGAGTTTCAGCATACCCAGCTTCACACTATGCGGTGTGACTTCACAAACCAAACTCAAATCTCTAAATTCTTCTATCAGCTCCAACTCTCTAGCCATCAATGTCGGCATATGCAACGTCTTCCGATTCAGTGCATCAGCTACGACATTGGCTTTACTAGGATGGTAATTCAAACCGAAATCATAATCGTTCAACAACTCGAGTCATCTCCTTTGTCTCATAGTCAACTCATTCTGATTGAATAGATACTTCAAGCTCTTATGATCACTAAATACTTTAAATCTAGAGTCAAACAAATAATGCCTCTAAATCTTAAGCGTGAACACAACGGCATCCAACTCTAAGTCATGCGTAGGATAATTATTCTCATGAACCTTAAGTTACCTCGAAGCATAAGCCACAACTTGTCCATTTTGCATCAACACACCACCCAAGCCCATTTTAGAAGCATCACAATACACAACAACAGAGTTAGTTGGACTCAGCAGAATCAACACTGGAGCAGACGTCAACCTCTTCTTAAGCTCTTGGAAACTCTCTTCACATTGAAAACCTCTGAGAATTAATTAAGGAATAAGAAAAATACAAAGAGAGGAGGATTAGATATTCTTCATGAGAAAATTAAAGTAGAACTTAAGATTACAATTTTAGAAGTAGATGACACGTATAATGATCTATTTGTAAAGAAGTTTATGAAATGTGATGACAGACTTTTGGGTCAATTGGAAAAACCTTTGAGTTGGTTGTGGTTTTGGAATTTATTTTCTGCATGGGATTGGCCAAAACGACATTTTCTTTTAAATCATGGAAAATATGACATTGAGAGGTTTGTTGGACATAAACTTTAGGTGTTATTGCTTATTGTTATATAGTTAATAAGTCTGCCGTATGTAATTTTCTTATTTGGAATGAGTGATAACTGGAAGGCACTGCAATGTACTAGACTGCAACAACACATTAATATCAAACATATGACAAAAGAGAGAACAGAAAAATGAAGAAACAAAACATAAAAGTAGCAAAGTCACCATGTTTTAAAGAGCAGAAAAGCAAAAAGGATGAGCATCATTGGTCACAAACACGAAAATAGGAAAGTGGAAGAAACAAAGAACAAAAATTTATGTCATTTAACTTGCTTCAAATAATAAATAAATAAATAAGAAAAGTAAATAAGTAGAGTAAATTCATTCATCATCACTAAAGTGAAAAAGTAACAACATCTTACTTTTGAATTTGAATTCACTCTATCTAAGCCAACGCCCAACAGCATGGTCCCATGCCTCTGTGCAGCCTATGTTTTACTGCATTTCATGAATAGCCTGCTGCTACACACTTCTGAAACTCATCAAGCTCACATAAAAAAAAAAAGCTTTAAAACTTGCGTGTCATTCAATACTTGGGAATACTGGCGGTGCTAGGAACAACACCACCGCATGCTCACCGTTTGCAACAATATCACTGACATAAAGTTTTCACTTTTACAACCATTTTTATATTTACAAAACTACCCTTCATGTGGTTTTTATATTTGACGGAATTTAAGAGGTTGTCTTTGGCAATATACATGTGTTATTGTTTGACATGGTAATGCAACAGTTGTCACATAATACTAGTTTCTTCAATAAGGACACATTACACTACACTCTCAACTTTGAACAACCACATGATTCTTTTTCTAAACATGCATGTCCTTTTTCACAATGGATCCTAATAGATTTTCATTCTCGGAACCATTTCAACCACACAGAAGAAAGGTTCTTTATGAGTTCAGTTTATGTCTTGGAGCTTCTTTGATTTTGTGTTCTCTTTTCTTTTTTAGTAATTCACTCAAAGTTCCTAAACATTCAGTCTTTCTTTCTGTTTTCAATACTTCTCACAGAAGTTCTTCATTTAATAGTACTAATCACTCTTGTTTATCTCAGAATAGTGTTGTTTTTGGTAGAGTTAGTGAAGTGAATTTGTCAAGTGTTGGAGTTGGAATACATGGTGACATGAAGAAGAACTCTAGTTTTATGAGTTCTAATGTGACCAATGATGATCCATACAATGGTAATACGAGTATTGTTGAGGTAAGGAATGAAGGGGATTTTGTTAGGGATAAGAATGTGAGTTTGAGCATTCGTAGTGATGACCAAATGAAGAATATGAAGGTTGGTTTTTTAGATGAAAAGTGTGATATCTTTGATGGAAAGTGGATAAGAGATTATTCAAAACCATATTATCCTTTAGGTTCTTGTCCCTTCATTGATAGAGATTTTAACTGTCATCTTAATGGGAGGATTGATATTGAATATGTAAAATGGAAGTGGAAGCCAAATAAATGTCACATTCCAAGGTATGAGTTTGATTATATGTTTCTCATTAGCAAGTTGAAAATGTTGTTATTTTTATTTATTTTGGTGTCTAAGAGATTAGTCTAGCAGTGAAACTCACACGCTAATATATGAAATGTTCTTGCAATCTTTAGACTTAACTTTGTTTAGAAGTCAATTATTGATGTTGTGATGCCTATCAGTTTGAATGCAACTGATTTTCTGGAGAGGTTACGCGGTCAGAAGCTTGTTTTTGTTGGAGATTCATTGAACAGAAACATGTGGGAGTCTCTTGTTTGTATACTTCGACAAAGCGTCCGGAACAAGAAACGGGTTTTTGAAATTTCGGGGAAAAGTGAATTTAAGAAGAAAGGCGTATATGCTTTTAGATTTGAGGCAAGTTTCACGTTTTAATCTATAATGTTTTGTCAACTGAGAATCTTGTAATGGTATGTTAATAGAATTTATCTGGTTTGTTTTTTTAGGATTACAACTGTTCAGTTGATTTTGTTGCTTCACCGTTTCTTGTTCGAGAATCGAGTTTCAAAGGCAAAAATGGTTCGTTTGAGACATTAAGATTGGATTTGATGGATCATACAACTACAAGGTATCAGGATGCTAATATTTTAGTGTTCAATACAGGCCATTGGTGGACACATGATAAAACATCAAAAGGGTGAGTTCATTTTCAGTCCGTAGCTTTTCAACGATAATGTTAGAATAGCAAATCCGGTTCTAAAGTAAGAATAGCACAATTATTAATCATAAAGTTTGGCTAATCGTGTCTACGTCTCTAACAACACATAGCAGTTTTTGTACATTCCTTATATGCAATCAATTAGAGTTACATAGTACATAGCTTTGTTTATATAGTACGATCAAGTTTACATGTTTACCGCTGTTGTCATAGAAACCTAGAATGCATGAAGCTTGTGTTCTTGCAATGATACTGTCAATGCTGGTCAAACTTCGACAGAGACCTTAACAATAGAACCTTAGAAGTGAAACTTTAAACATTTATGGTACTTGGAGGCCAAGAGCTCCACTCACATCACTAGGCTCGTGCAACTTTCTACTTGTTCGGTTTAGAATTATAAATGATCGGGGAAATAACGAGGTAATGCCTTGTTGCATTGGATTTGTGCTTCCGGTGTGGTGGAGAGGGGGCTGACCTGCAAGGTTAGCACTCCACGGCCAAGTCAGTGAGAGAATAAGGAGTAATGTGAGAGTAAGAATGAATTTGAATATCTGAAATGACACGCTTTTCTCTATATAGTGAGAGCGGTTAAAACCGTCTACATGGGGTGAGGCGCGTTGTGCGGGTAGCCATTAGATCTAATCAGATGGTGATTGACGCGTTTTGAGGGTGGAATTGCCTATTCCGGGGGATGAAGGATCACCTCCTCCATGTGCTTTACCACCTGATGATGCTCTTGTGCCTTTCACTTTGGGCCTTGCGAGCGGCCCAGATTACTACTTATTAGCGGCTATGAACCATATTCAACGGATGATTAATCTCTCTTGTTGTCTGATTTCACTGTTTCTGCTTGAAATAAGCATATGGACATATGGTATTAAGGTTTCTGATTTTGATGTCATCTGATATTTGTTGCAGAGAAGATTATTATCAAGAAGGAAACCATGTACATCCAAGACTCAAGGCTTTGGATGCTTATACGAGGGCTTTAACCACTTGGGCTAAGTGGGTAGACCGAAAAATTAACGCGAAGGAAACACAAGTTTTCTTTAGAGGATACTCATTTACTCATTTCTGGTAATTTTGTCTCTTGCATAACTTCAGCATTACAATTGCATGTTGATTTCATATTGTTTCTTTGTTTTAGTTTGACCATAAAATTAGCCGAAGCATCTTATAACTGAAAACTTATCGATTCTAATTCCTTGCAGGGGTGGACAATGGAACTCAGGAGGACAATGCCATAAAGAGACTGAACCGATATATAACAAAACTTATTTACAAAAGTATCCTTCAAAAATGCGTGCGGTGGAGCATGTCATTGAAAATATGAAAACCGAGGTGGTGTATATGAACATAAGTAGACTTACGGATTACAGAAAAGACGGACATCCTTCTGTGTACCGAAAAGATTATAAGACAACGATGACGCAGAACTCTTCTTCGCTATACGAAGATTGCAGCCATTGGTGCTTGCCGGGCGTACCAGATACTTGGAATGAATTGTTATATGTCTCTCTCTTAAAATATGGAAAGGGAACTTGGAAAGTCTGAGATGAATACCTTATAAGTTAATTCGACATCCAGTTTCTGATTCTTTATGCATTTTCTATATATAGTTTGATTAGAATATGACAATTATTCCCAATGATCTATGGGATTGTAAAATGTATACATGTGTGCTGTGAGAGTTTGATTTTGTCGGAGTCATTCTCACTCTTATACTATACTGATTTTAACATTGGAGTTCTAACCTTACACGCCCATCCCCTCTCTTCCGTACCTGAAGCTTGTTCCACTGCACCAAAACTTTATTTCACTACATATTTCTAGCTCCCTAACGGAACATTTAGCCATAACGATCTCTAATTCGATCCATTTCCTTTTTGTGACTTGTCGGTTTACCAAGCTATAACAAAAGCTTCTCTTCCTATGAAAGTCTATGCATTTTTGAAATCACAGTGAATTCGATGAATTCACAACGACTGTGATTTTGCTAAACTTTTATCAGAATCAGTGTCACACGATGTGATATGTCAAATAATGTTCAACATCTGCCTGATATATATAACTATGGTGCCTGAAGTTACATTCTTTCTATGAAAAGCTAAATGACATTCTTCTCATATGATAGAAGCTCAGTTTTTCTATAAAATGTTCACCACTAAGTAAAAGCATGTTAAGCAGCTTTGTGTGTAATATTAACATATTCAATCAGTTCTAATAGCTGATACATAGTTGATACTGGAGTGGCCCTTCAATTCGGAGATTTCAGTAAGGACAATTCCATGCTGTTAATTGAAAAAACCATACTTTTAGAATGAAAAAACTTTATTACAATACTTTATGCCAACTAATCATAACTAACTTTTAACAATATTCAACTAATTCTAACAGAGAGAATGTGTATTGCAACTCACCTAGGGTCAACCAAGCTTTCGGTCATTGTATCGCCTGAAGATTGAGTGTTGGATTGTGGAAGAAAATTACATCGTCTTTGTGAAGCAGATTTGCTGAGTTCAGAGCTACTAGAATAAATAAAGGGCGGTTGCGTTGGCTGAGAAATTTCATGATTGTTATTAATCATTTTAACAACTACTGACATTGATGGTCTCAACTCTGCAGTTGCTTGTGCACAAAGCAATCCTATCCGAAGCATTTGGCATGCTTCCTCTTCAGGAAAATTACCTTCTAGGATTGGATCAACTATGTCAGAGAGCTTATTTGATCCATAAAGGTTCCAAACCTTATACAAAAGGAGAATAAAAATCAATCAAAGGTGATAGAACTATGAGGATACATGTTATTATCAAAATTGATAAATGAATTAGTAATGTAGTGGTGTTAGAATGCTAGATGATACCGTTTGTAGGATAGAAGATGAATTCAGAACATAGGAACTGTTTTTTTTGCCAGACACAATTTCAACAACTAGAACTCCAAAGCTATAAACATCTGCTTTCTCAGTCAATTTCCCGCGAATCACGTACTCGGGAGCCATATAACCCCTAATCATGAACAACATAAATAGAAAGTGAGTATACGAACCATAAAAATATACAAAACATAATAAAGTGCAGAATAGGATAATGCGTGCACTTACAGTGTCCCAGCGACAACCGTGCTAATGTGAGAATTGTCTTCTGGAAACAATCTAGCTAGTCCAAAATCAGCAATCTTGGGTGTGAAGTCGTCCTCAAGGAGAATGTTGCTTAATTTTATATCTCTATGAATGATTCTCACATGTGATTCCTCATGAAGGTAGGCCAGGCCTTCTGCAATTCCCAATATGATCTTATGCCTCACTTCCCAACTAAGAGGTTGACAAATGCTTCTAACTGTGAATCATGCCAAAATATAAATATTATAAGTCACTAAAGTTAAACCTAAAGTTAATTTTTAAAGACATAACTAGTGGTGAGATAGGTCAGACTCGGGCCTAAAATTTATTAAATAGGTCAGACTCAAGCTTTATAAAGTCCTGTCTGACATATTCTCACTGGTAGACCTAATATCAGATAAAAAGTTACAACCAGATAGGTAATCATAGAGGCTCTGGTTAGGCACATATTCATAAACAAGAAGGCTTTCAGGTCCTGTAATGCTGCATCCCAAAAGCTTGACAAGATTTTTGTGATGAACTCCACTAATCAAATTAACCTCATTGAAGAAATGATCCACCCATTGCGTCGAGTTAAAACTAAGCCTTTTAACAGCCACAGTATTACCATCTGGCATAACTCCCTAAAATGAAAGGAAAAATCTATAAGCACTTAACAACAATAAGGTTGTAAGAAGTTACAATAAGATAAGATCAGAATATACTTTATAAACTGAACCTGATCCTCCTTGTCCTAGTTTATTGTCATCATTGAAGTAATTTGTTGCTTTTTCAAGAATTTCATATGGAACATTTAGCTTGGATTTATTCACTGTATCCAAAAGTGTCCCAAATTGTTTTCTCTCTAGTAAAAAAACACACACACATAGCAATAACTTTTAGCACAAGTATTTTGGAAAAAAGTAATTCCAGTCTTTAAATATTAAACATGTGTACCTCTTCTTTTCCTCATTACATTCTTTCTTATAAAGAAACCCATTGTTGCAGTAACTAAAAGAAGAGCCAAGACAGCAGAAGATGCAGCCAAAATTATAGCCATTTTTCGGTGTCCTAAAACACAGTTTCAAGCTTCAATCATGTTCTTATCATAATACTGACCATGGTTATAAATTGCGGTCCGCAACGCAATTGCGGCTGTAATATTGCTAATGCAGTAGCTTCCACAACCGTATTGGACTGCAATTGCAGTGTGATTTAAAACCACGCGTCCGACTATATTATGAACCGCATCTAACAATGTCGCTCAAGTTTCTTCAAGTATTTTCACCAAAACTAAAAATTTCAAAACCTCACTATGTAATGAAAAATCTTAAGATTAAATGTTTTTGGTCTATTTCAAACCCCTCAATCAAAATTCACACTGCAACGACCGCAACGGCAACCATGTCACAACACCCGCAACTGCATCAGCGATCGCAACCGAACTTTAAAACCATGATTCTGATATTTTAAACTACTTTACATTAACAAAAAATACAATGAACAAAAATTCAAGATTATGAACAAGTTCAAAATGGTAAGTTTGGCATAATCATGCTACTGTAATTTTGATGAAATCAACACTTCAAAGTTTCGACGAAATCAGATTACAACCGTGATTATGCAAAATTCATGGCTAATCGAAAGAAAAAGAGATCATAGCTCACCGCGATTTCCAGCAGCAACATCATTACTACTTGAATTGTTATAGAACTTGTGTGGTGAATGCCTCAAATAACAACCAGAATTCAAAACCCGTCCATCTTCTTTCTTCCTACACGAAGAACCAATCCTAGTAACCGCATCCTCCAAACATCTCCGACAGTTACCACCAGTAACAAACTTCCAACACTGAGCCAAACCATACACCGTTACATTCTTCCTCTCAACAAACCCAACAGAAAATCCACCGTTTTTCGGCGCCAACACACTCAAATTCCTCAGCAATTCATAAACATTCGCTTCATAAACATTACTACTTGTTTTAGTTTCATTATTTCCACACACGGTCGTGTCTTGATTACCAAGACTCTCGTTAAAGAAACTGTATTCATCGTACCGTATGTAACAACCATCAAACAACAACCTTCCTCCACGTGTACCTTTCTGAAAAGGCAAACAGCTTAGGATCTGTGTTTTGCACTGTGCGATGCATATGTTACAATCTGATTGAGAGAGGTCTTTTATGCACTCGCCGTAGGCGAAAACGGTGGCGTTTCGTGCTCCGTTTGAGACGGCGGCGTATTGTTGTTTTGCTATTAAGGGAGTTAAGGAGTCCATTGCTGAGAGGAAGTTTGATATAAAAAGTTTGCGGAATGGCATTGAGGTTGCGGTTTTGTTTGTGCATAGTAAGAGAACTTTTGTTGCTCCGGGATCAGAAGAAAGTGTTGGATATGTGAAATAGTAAATGAAGAGGAGAGTAAGATATGGTGAAGAAGACATTGAAGTTGAAACTGGAGCTCCTTTGTTGTTGGATAAGCATTAAATTGTAGAAGATGAATATAGTGGAGTGGGTGGGGAGAGAAAGTAGTGTTTGAAACTGTGTAGTTTTCTTTGACTAAATAAATAATTTGTCGAGTATTTATGTCGACTGTGCATTGATTGAGGTTGTGTTTGGTTGACCCGTGTTTAACAATCAGTCATTATTTTGTAGTGGTGATTGATTTTATTAAAGTAAATCAAGACTGAGTCTTGCTTTGTCGATTTTGTTTGGAAGTCAATGAGTGTAATGTAAGGAATGTGTGAGTTTTCGCTTTCAGATAGTATGCGTAATGTTGATGCCTATTTGTGGGAAGCTTCGTCACTGTGGTTGACTTTGAAGTGAGCACGAAGTTGGAGAAATATAACTAAAATATCATCCAACTTTGATATTTATTGTTAAAGAATGAGTATTCATTAGCATAACTTTTACTCAACTAACTCTTTTTGCCCTCGTATACTTCAATATATTACCTTTTCAAATAAATGTTCTTTTTATATATAACAATTCGCCAATTAGTCTAGTTGGTTAATGTATCCTTTTTTATATAATGGAGATGAATGTTATTTATAGATATTTCAGGTCTTTGGTGTGATATTTTTGTAGTTAGTTATTGTATCTTTGTTGTTTCTTCTCTTCGGTGGAGGGAGAGGACATCAGGTTTCTGATCTGCTTCATCTTTAAAAAAAAAGTGTGTCTTTTCTTGGGTCTAAAGAGCGATTAGGGCTCCATACTTTCTTTTGGAAGAAAAATTAGTTAGGATAATACCCTTAAAGGATAAGCTCTTTGATCTATTTTCTAACTCAGTTAAACCTGATGATTGGTGAGAGAGATTGACCTAGTAGAAAACGGAGTTCTAGTTTGGGATCTCGGGTGAAAAAAATTCTTCCTTCTCCACGAGGTACATGTGATTGATAACCTCTCTCTCTCTCTCTCTCTCTCTCTCTCTCTCTCTCTCTCTCTCTCTCTCTCTCTCTCTCTCTCTCTCTCTCTCTCTCTCTGGATAAAGATAAGTGGATTTGAAATCATAAGAGAAATGATATTTTCTCTGTTGCTTTTGCTTACCATGTTTAGCTGGATATCTCTATCTCTTCTTAAGAACTCGACCCTTTCTCTCATTGGGGTTAATTGGAATCCTTTTAAGGTGTTGGTCTTCTCTAAGCAACTCCTACAAGATAAGACTCCTTCTAGAGAGTACCTGTTTAAATGGGAGAGTGGTTGTAGAATCTATTGAGATCTTTTATCCCTTGTATGGGGATTCAATTGAGTCGGTCTCTCATATGTTTGTCACTTGTGAGGTATAGGATCTTTGAGTGGTTGGATTGGATGGTAGTTGTTCCTAGTGATCTTAGGTTTCTTTTTAAGTTTTTCCTCTTTTTCGTTTGTAGGGGTAAGTTTAGGGGTGATTTTACTATGATTTTTCAAGTTGACATCCAGTCCATTTGGATAACTCGTAATGATGTCATCTATAATGGTGTTTCAAATACTATAAAAGAAATGGAGGATAAGATTATTTTTTGGCTTGGAAATAGTTTTTAGGTAGAGCAGGGGTGAACTCATGTTCTTTCTCTGACTAGCTTCAGAATTCTATCATTTGTCTTAACCAATAGTATATTGAGTATTTTATTCGATTTTGAGGTTGGTATGTGTGATACGGCGGGAGAACTGACTTGTGTTTTGCGTTCGCATTCGCACTTGTGCGGTTGAGCAAGAGTCGCCACCGACTTTTTATTTTATCCTAAAGGAAAGGTTAAAAAAAGCACAGCAAAAACCTTTTGAGATATTTCGTGGGTTCGGGGGGTAGATTATGAAAAGGGAAGGTACTAGCACCCTTTTCATCCATGGTTATCCATGGGCTCTTAGTTACTTGGTTTTTTAGATCACTTGCCTTGTTTTTCGATTGCTTTGAAAATGGTGTGTGTGTGGGTGCTTTTTGAAAATGTTTTAGAAAAAGATGCCTTGTTTTAGGCAACTAATGCATTTGACTCGTGTTTGAGTGTTTTACAAAAGTGTGAGTCTTTTCGAAAAGATGTTTTCAAATGTTTTTGAGAGTTTGTTTGAAAGTGTTGTGGATTGTGGTTTTTGAAAAGAAGGCAAGTGTTTTTGCAAGTTTGATCTCAAGTAACTAAGAGTTATGTCTACCCTATTGTACTCAAAGGTTTTTGTCATGTTTTAACCCCTTTTAACAATTTTGTTCCACCATTGAAATTGATGGGCAATCTTGCGTTTAGGAAGTTTATTCGGGACGGGCGCGGGTCATCGCATAGACCATGAATGCAATGATGCCAAGTGTTTTTGGCAAATTGTTTTGAAGGGACTATGATCATTCCGTTTAGGCAACTTTCGAAAGCGTCATCGAGGGACTTATGATCATTTGATTTTGTTTTGCCAAAGACATTCGACGTGCAAGCATGGCCCATTATTGAAGGCAACATGTGGGATTACCTTAGGGGGTGCAAGTGTGATTGTGTATTGATTACATGCATTTGTCTTGTATTAGGTTATCTAGCGTTTGATTTTATGTACATACAAACCCTAGGTCTAACCATGGTATAATTGAAAAGCTGTAAATTGCGGAATGTAAATCTACGCTATTACAAAATAATGTCCGGGAGTGGGGGTATAAATGTACAAGGGGATGAGACTTATAGTACCCAATAATTTACAACCAAATCGAATGTGCGATCAAAATGAATATCAAATATACAAATATAAGATAAAGTGTGTGTAGGGCAATATATTGTGTAAGTGCAAATGTATATGTATTGTGTAAATGTAAACATGTATAAGTGCGAAATGTGAAATTGAGCCGTATTAGGGTTTTGACCTAGATATACGTTTTAACCTGTATTTTTGATTTATATGTTGAATTATGTACAAAAGAAAAATGAAGTGTTTTGATTAGAATGGTAAGTTTTAATTAAAAAGTATTTTAGTCAAAATGTTTATGAGTTTCAATATTAAAAGATGTATTGAATTGTTATATACAAAAAGAATGTTAATTAAAAAAAGGAGTTTAATTTTAATTATGTATAAAAAGTATTTGGTTATTTTATATACAAACATATTTTAATGAAAGAGTAAATAAATGAAAATAATTATTTTTAAACTTAATATATGAGGTAAAGATGTATTTTTAATTAGGTTAGTATGCTTAATTAAATTAAGAAATAAATTGTGTATGTTAAAAAAAAATGAATTAATTGAGTTAGTATATATATATAAAAAGAAGTAAACATTGTTTTTTTTTCTTTTTATAAAAATGAAAAGAGTTAGTGTTTTATAAAATAAGGTTAGTGTTAGAAAATGAAGTGATTTCTTGTTGGGCTTCAGAGGAGATTAGCAGCGGGTCTGGCCCAAGGTTTGCAACAGAATTAGGGTTAGGCAATTTGTTTCAGTTTGGAGCGAAGGCAGCGGCGCCGTGCGTAAGCTCATCTTCTTCGTTCTTCCTCATCTCCCTGCGTGCTGAATGTGATGCCTAGCCAACCCCAACGCCACCTCCGGTTCCTCTCATCTCCGCGATTGGACTAAACCTAAACGAACAGGGTAACGATCTCACCTTCTCTATCTTAGAATTTTCACTCTTCTTCTTGCTTAGTCTGAGTTATAATCTTAATCGTTATTATCGTTTGTTTTTCTTTTCTTGAGATTGAAAAGGGGATGAAAAGCTACCTTAATTTGGGAAGATGGAGGAAAGGGAACCGGAACTGGAGGCGTTGAGGAGGAGGCCCGGTGGCGGTGATGGAGCTTTGAGCTTGCTTTGCTCCGGGTATTTTCGTTCCTTTGATATATTTAGGGTTTGATGATGACGCTAGACTGAGAACCTTAATGTGCACTTCTTTACCTCTTCTTCTTCCACTGTGATGCCTTTATATGGTTGCCTGAGATGCTTCTTCTTTCTTCTTCACTTGAACACTGTATATTTTCTCGTATCACCCTGTGATGACCTCAAAGGTCTGAGGGTCTATCTCTTTGTTTGTGTGCTTGAGATGTTGGTTTTATAAAAATGGTGAGGTTTGATTTTGTTTATCAGGTTTGTGTGTTTAGCATGAAGGTTGAGTTCTGAGATGTGGGATATTGGTATGGTGCAGGTTCTGATTAAGCTTGGCTTAACTCAGTTTTTTTTTGGTTATGACTGATGCTTATGCTTGAGGTTAATCAGGTTATGGCAGTAGATTGAGTGCTTGAGATTGGGTTTGGTTATGACAGTGGGGTTTAGCATGAAGGTTGAGGCTTGAAATGTGTTAGGTTCAGATGATGGTTATGTTTTTTCTTTTGTTTTGATAAGCTCAGTATGTTTATGTTATGGGTTTGGGGATATGAGAGGATGTTGGTTTTTAGACCACTCAGTTTTTTTGCAGGTTTATATGTGTTTTTGCTTCAGCTTGTATATATCTCTTTTATCCTCTGAACTGCTATATTGGCTAATGTGTATTGTGGTGAGGCAGAGTTAAGTGCTTGATGCAGCTACCCTAGTTGTGTTTGCCTTGACAGTTTTTTATACTTCTCTCCTCTCTCACCTTACTTCTGTCTATTCTGAGCTGCCTAAACTGTGTTAGCTATTTTCTTTTCTATATTCACTCTCTACTGTCTGCTGTGAACTGCCTTTATTTTGCTGAGTTGGCTTTTGACTTTGTATATCTCTCTTTGAATTGCCTGCTGAACTGTCTTGGCCTTGCTTTTTCTATCTTAAACCTTCTTATTGTCTATTGGCTTGTGTATATCCTGTGCTGAGGCAGAGTTGGTATCTTGTATACATTCCTCTCTCTTCCTTTTGCCTGCTGTGCTGTGTACTGCTATTGGACTGTCTTGGCTTTTCTATTATGCAGAGTTGATGAAATTTGTACACATTCCTCTCTCTCCCTTTTGCCTGCTGTGCTGATGTCTATGCCTAACCTGAACTGAGTTTGCTTTATCTCTCTTTACTCTCTCTTAAAGTACAGTTTAAGATTTTTATATGACT